CTGGTGGGTTTGAATTGTCAGACTTCTGGTTAGCAGTTAAGTGCCTTAGGACTACATTACCAGAGCTCCTTCAGAAGGAAGGTAAGGCAATATATTTCTGTAAAGATTTACTGCCTTGGAAACCCAATGGGGGTCACTATGAGTCAAAATCGACTCTATGACAGTGGGTTTGGATTTTTGTGGGGTTTTTTTGTTTTTGTTTTTGTTTTTTGGCCCTCCTGCTTGTGTCTTCCACACACATTAAATATAAATGTTTTATGTGACTTACTACTAACAAAATTACCACTTGGGGAAGATAAAAAAAGAAAGAAAGAAAGAAGACAAAGTAAAGTATTATAATGAAATAAGCAAAGAGCTGGAGTTATAGAAGCAAAGGGAAGAATAAGGTTGGCATTCCTCAAGCTGAAAGAACTGAAGAAAAAATTAAAGGCTCAACTTGCAATATCAAAGGATTCTATGGGCAAAACATTAAATGATACAGGAAACATCAAAAGAAGAAGGAAGGAATACACAGAGTCACTAAATAAAAAAGAATTGGTCAGTGTCCACTTATTTCAGGAGGTAGCATATAATCAAGAACCAATGGTATTGAAGGAAGAAGGCTGCACTGAAGGAATTGTTGAAAAAGAAGGCTCTAGAAATTGTCAGAATACCCATTGAGATGTTTCAACAAATGAACACAGCACTAGAGAAGCTTACTTGTTCATGTCAAGAAATCTGGAAGATAGCTACCTGGTCAACTGGCTGTAAGAGATAGATATTTGTGCCCATTCCAAAAAAAAAAAAAAAAATGATCCAACAGAATGTGGAAATTATTGAACAACATCATGAATATCACATGCAAGTAAAATCTTGTTGAAGATAAATCAAAAATGGTTGTAACTGTATATTGACAGGGAACTTCCAGAAATTCCAGCTGGATTCAGAAGAGAAGGTGGAACAAGGGATATCATTGCTGATGTCAGACGGATCTTAGGTGAAAGCTAAGAATATCAGAAATACGTCTACCTGTGTTTTATTGACTATGCAAGGGCATTTGACTGTGTGGATAGTAACAAATTATAGATAACGTTGAGAAGAATGGGAATTCTAGAACACTTAATTGTGCTCATGAGAAACTTGTACATGGATGAATAGGCTGTTGTTCAAACAGAACAAGGGGATACTGCATGGTTTAAAATCAAGAAGGGTGTATACCAGGGTTGTTTACTTTCACCATACTTCTTCAATCTGTATGCTGAGCAAGTAATCCGAGAAGCTCAACTGTATGAAGAAAGTGGCATCGGGACTGGAGAAAAAACCATTAACAACCTGCGATATGCAGATAACACAACCTTGCTTGTTGAAAGAGAAGATGACTTGAAACGCTTACTGATGAACATCAATAGCTACAGTCTTCAGTATGGATTACACCTCAACATGAAGAAAACAAAAATCCTCACAATTGAACCAATAAGCAACATCATGATGAATGGGGAAAAGATTGTAGTTGTCAGGGATCACATTTTACTTGGATCAACAATCAACACCCATGGAAGGCAGTCAGGAAATCAGACATACTACACCAGGAAAATCTGCTATAAAAGACCTTTTTAAATGTTAAGAAGCAAAGATGTCACTTTGAAGACTGAAGTACACCTGACCCAAGGCATTGTATTTTCAATAGCCTCATATGTATGTGAAAGCTGGAAAATGAATAAGGAAGACTGAAGAAGAGTTGGTTCCTTTGAATCACAGTGTTGGTGAAGAATAGTGAAATGGACTACCAGAAGAATGAAAAAATCTGTCCTAGACAAAGTGCAGCTGGAATGCTTCTTGGAAGCGAGAATGGGCAGACTTCATCTCACCTACTTTGGTCATGTTTTTAGAAGGCATCACTCACTGTAGAAGGTTATCAGGCTTGGTAGATGGTCAGCGAAAAAGAACACCCTTAACAATAGACTGACACAGTGGCTGCAATGATGGGCTCAAGAATAGCAATGATAGTGAGGATGGTGCATGACCAGGCAGTGTTTTATTCTGTTGTACATAGGGTCATTATGAGTCAGAGCTGACTCAAAGGCACCTACCAACAACATTTATTTGTGTTTGCATAATAACTTTGTATCCAGCAACCAATAAATTCTTTTGAATTTTCTATGTATGAATCGTGTCATCTCCAAATAAAAAGAATTTTATTTCTTCCTTTCCAATATTTTTGTCTGCTTGTTTCTTATCACACTAGATAGCACTTCAGGACAATGTTGAATAGGAGCAATAGTGAAGTAATGGTTTCTTATCTCAGGAAAAAAGTCTAACATTTTACCAATGTTTGCTGTAGGTTTTGAATATACACATAGGTGCTTTACAGAAATTCTCTATTCCTGTAGTATGCTATCAATCAAAAAAAAAAAACCAAACTCACTACCCTCGATTTGATCCCAACTCATAGTGACCCCTCCTTGGGTTTCTGAGGTGGTTATCTCTATGGAAGTTGATTGCCCAATCTTCCTTCCAAAGAGTGGCTGGTGGGTTTGAACTGCCAGCCTTCTGGTTAGCGGTCAAGTGCCTTAGGCACTACACCACCACCACCAGAGCCTCCAGTATGCTATCGGTTGTATAAAAACAAATCTATTCTATATACATACACATGTGCATAGGTATATGTCTGTTTTGTAAGGATTCCTAAGAAACTGGTTAAAAAAAAAAAAAGTTGTATACTGGGCCTTTAATGTGAAAGAGACTTTTATTTGGAATTTTTTGAATTTGTTCATGTGTACTTTTTAAGTGTACTAAAACAATTATCATTGAGTTGATCATGATTCGTTGCAATCCCATGTGTTTCAGAACAGAACTGTGCTCCATAGGGTTTCAAATGGCTGTGACCTTTCAAAAAGGTTGCCGGATGGTGCAAATAGTTTGTGCTTGACTATAACCTAAAGGATGGTGGTTTGAACCCACCCGGTGGTTCTGTGGTCAAGTAAACCCTATGGAGCAGTTTTACTCTGTTAACACATGAAAACACAGGGGCCAAAGTAAGTTGGAGTATCTTTGATGGCAATGTTTTTTTGTTTGTTTTATTTTTTTGACCTTCCAAAGTGCCTCTGGGTGGACTCAAACTGTCGATCTTTTGGTTCATAACCTCGTGCTTAACCGTCTGTACCACTCAGGGACTCCTTTAAGTATATTATCCACTTAAGAACAATTTTATTTTAAAGGCTAAAATTTTAACATATAAAGCATATTTAAATAGGTACTTTTTTGGGGTGAGGGGACTAGAGAATGTTACAGAATTAGGAATTGAAGATAACTGTGAAAATACTCAAGAATGTTCATGAGCATATACCATTCCTCCTTCAATCAAATAAAGAAAATCTCTCTTACTGACAATACAAGACAAAATCTTCCAGTCTTCATTTCAATAGAGCTAAAAGGTGCAAGGTGGGGCCTTTAAAGTTATATTTTCTACAAGCTTTATTTTCCACAAGCTTTCCTTGCTCCAAAACTATACTTGTGCTTCATAGGGAAGAAGTTAAATTACAAGAGATTCATATACAGGACAATGAGTTAGAAAATGTACACAATTATCCTGCAACTTTTTATCCACGGGGGAGTAGCATAATGAGGACTAAGAATGTAAGATTTGGGATCTATGTTTTATTATCTATGGAAAACTGAGCAATTTTTAAAACTTCTCTGAACTTCAGCTTTCTCTTATGTAAGAAGATACTGCCAGCTTCCAAGGTTGTTAGACCTCAACTGAGACAGCATATAAATTTCCTAGCCCCTGTTCCAGCATAGGGGTATTAAATAGTGCTAACTTTCCCCGTCTTCTGGTCAAACTTACAGAAATATGATGTAACTGCTCCTTTGAATTTTTTTATAAGAAAAATAGCAAATAACATAGTTTCCGATTTTATTTAATACTCTACATTCCTGAATAACTGATTAAAAAACAAATGGTAATCAGATTTTTTTAGAGTCACATAAAAGGAAAATAATAGGGAAAGTAAGGGCATGTTTGCCAAGTTTATTTGGATGTAGAGCCAAGATCATTAAACTTAAAAAGAGTTCTAAGTCTTTGGAAACTGAGACTTGAATAATAGGAGATGAAATTAATACTGCTCTTGGATTCACAGTTAAAGGAAGTCATTCCATTTCTTTGTTTCTTGACACTATAGATTTAACAATATATTGGTAGAAACATGTCACTTGCCATGTGAATTAGACATCAAAAGACCAATTTGATACATATAAACTAAAAATTAAAAATGAATACATTTGGATATCAAATTATAGATCTGCATAACAATATAAATTTTTGTTAACAACTTTCCAAAAGGGACAAAGAAACAGTATTAATAAAGAGTGGTCTTTTTCATCATTCTCAAAAATTCTTCTTCATTTATTTCTCCATCTCCATCACGATCAGCTTCATCAAGCATTTCCTGTAAAACAAAATGTAAATATATGAAATCTATTAAAATCTATTAAAAAGGAATAATGACATAAATATTCAAATACATACTTAAAACCAAATTTTATTTTAAATGTATTAATGAACACAGCCAAGGTAAGAATATAATTACAATAACTCACATTTATAGTTCCATACTGTCAGAAAAAAAGTCATATTTACCTGAAGTTCATCATCTGTTAAATTTTCCCCTAGTTCCTTGGCAACTCTCTTGATATTACTTAGTGTTATGCTTCCTGTATCATCATCATCAAATAATTTAAAAGCCTTCAGTAATTCTTCTTTTTCATCTTTTTCACTCTTAAAAAAAAAAAAAAGAAACAACTAAATGTCATCAGTCTTTTATTTATTCTATCAAGCTAGACTTATTAGATCTTTGAGGTCTAGGAAAGCAACATACCAGATAACTGAGCTTAGTTATTCTTGCTCTGATTTTTAACAATTGTTTTAATGCCCTCACAACATCTAGCCTCAAGATATTTCAACTCAGAGTTTACTCAAGTGACAAGAGGCACAAGGTGGTAAAGAGACTCCATTCCTATTAACGCCAGTAATGCAGATCCATCACCAAAAATCTAAATTCTATCTCCATTGTCCCAAAATAGTGCCTGGCAAAAATAGACTCTCAATAAATGTTTCCTGGATTCAAGCTTCAAACATGGCCCCATTTTTTCTATCGTACCATACAACCTCATTATCTCCTAATAAAAATCCTCTTCTCCAGACTACAAATTCTTCTCGTTATTCCCTGAAAACATATGATCTTGTGCATAATCTTGCCACTTTTATCTAGCCCAACTCAAAACCAAAACCAAACCCACTGCCATTGAGTTGGATTTAATTCACAGTGACCCCTCCTTGGGTTTCCAAGATGGTATCTAAATTACCCAGTCTCCTTTCTGAGGAGTGGCTGGTGGGTTTGAACTGCCAGCCTTCTGGTTAGCAGTCAAATGCCTTACACACTACGCCACCAGAGCTCCTCCTATCTAGCCCACCCATCGTTAAATACCTAGTTCCAAGTCTTTCATGAAAACTCTGATTGCTCTAGCCCCAAAATGTAGAAGGTTATTGCCTATATTTCTTTGAAAAACGAAATCACTACTGTACCATTTTCACACTCATTATGGCAGAAAAATCTTCGAAACCAATGGTGCCAGTTCCTTTTTTGTCAATTTCAGTTATCATTTTTTTAATTTCTTCTTTCTTTGGTTCAAACCCTAGGGCCCGCATTGCAATCTGGAACAAGAAGAGAATAAACTACAATATACCAAGATCTCATTCTTAGCTTCTTAATTATCTATTAATTACTAACTTCTTTCTTTCTTACCATGGACTGGGCATATCCCGAGGATATCAAGTCAGCAGACCTAGGTTATAGTCCTGCTGTGCCACAGGAGAAGAAGCCCTAGTGGTGCAGTGGTTAAGTGCTCAGCTGCTAAGTGAAAGGTCAATGATTCAAACCCATCAGCTGCTCCATGGGAGAAAGATGTGGCAATCTGTTTCAATAAAGATCTTCAACATTGGAAACCGTATGGGGCAGTTCTACTCTGTCCTGTAGGGTTGCTGTGAATCAGAATGGACTTAGCTACAATGCATTTGGTTTGGTTTGGTGCTACAGAATGTGTCACCATCACACCTTGGGCTTTGGCTTACTTGGAAAATATTTCCTCATTTAGTAAACAAGATTAAAATGATTAACAATTTCCAGGGTAGGTGTATGCAGTCAAGAGACTTTATATCATGCTTACAGAAGATTACTGTTAAATAAAAATTTAAAGATTGCCAAAAATAAATGATATGGCTTTTTAAATGTTTTAGAATTAGAAATAATTTCAGAACCTTCAATTCTTTCACATCTATGGTTCCAGACCCATCAACATCGAATAAATCAAAGGCCTCTTTAATTTCTTGCTTTTGGGTTTCATTCAACTCAATTTTTGCTGCTCTTTTCTTCCATTGCTCTGAACCTGTATGGTAGCCAGATGCCTAAAAGAAAAACACATGTGGGTGAAAGATAAACTATATTGCTAGAAAAATTAACAGAACTAGAGTAACTGAGGCTGCACTAATAAATCTAATAAGCAAACATACTCAAGCATCTTCTTATTATCAAATAATGAACTCAACAACTTCCTTCTTCCCCTTGCTAACATTTGTGTTTTTAGTTATTAATGTCTTAATAGAAAGCTTGGTTCTGTTTTTCCACTAAAATTTCTTCCTTAAAGTTAAGCCTGTTGATGGGAAGAAGACGCAAAAGAGGGCATGCCGGAAAAAGTCGATAGTGTTTTGCTGGAATACAATGTGGTACTTACTTGACACATCTGAAAAGCATTCGTTTTAGGAACATTTGCTTTCATATATGCCTGTTAAGTTTTATAATGAAACGTTCGTATTTTGTAGGCTATGCTTGACTGGAACATGGTATCCCTTCCCATCTTCTTCTCACATGCACTCCTACACCGCAGAGGCTGGAAAGTGAAAAACTACAATTTTTCAGGTGACAAACTACTCCAGGGATATGGATTGAAAAAAAAAAAAAAATGTTGGGCCAATTATCTGTATTCACCTAATATCTAGAAGATAGAAGGCATCTTTCTGGTGATATTTGCTATTTTCTGCAGCAAGCAAGGTCATGGAGTTGTGAGTTTTTCTGCAGCCTCATTTTGGTATCTCGTATCTGGTAAGAAGTAGTGGTGGTCAAGGCAGCAACTAGAGTCCATGTTCCAGTCTATCTACTGTCAGTTTACCATATATTAAGAGTTCATGTGGCAGCTGTGGATTCTTCTTTTTTTTTTTTTTTTTAAATATTGTAGTAAAATACATATAACAAAAATCTTATTACCATTTTAATCATTAAGTATATAATTCAGTGACATTAGTTACATCCATCACTATCTATTTCCAAAAGGTTTCATTACTCCAGAAACTCAGTAGCCCCCTAAGCATTTCCCATTTCCTCCTTCCCCCAACTCCTGTTAATGACCTCTATATACCTGTCTATCCTACATGTTTCATGTAAGTGGGACAATATTTGTCCCTTTGTGAGTGACTTAATACACTCAGCATAATGTTTTCAAGATTCATCCAGAGTTGTAGTATGTATCAGGACTTCATGTCTCTTTATGGCTCAGTAATACTCCATTATATGTATATACCACATTTTATTTATCCATTCATCAGTCCACCAGTTTTAAACATCTTATTCTGCCTAAAGAGTAGTTTCTGTTTCCAACACTGAACCCAACTGATATGTTTTTGTTGTTGTTGTTGTTAGGTGCTGTCAACTCAATTCTGACTCATAGCAACCCCGTTGTTGTTGTTGTTATGTGCCACGTCGAGTTGGACCCGACTAATAGCGAGCCCTCCTTGGGTTTCTGAGGCAGTATCACTACAGAAGTAGATTGCCCCATCTTCCTTCCGAGGAGTGCCTGGTGGGTTTGAACTGCCAGCCTTCTGGTTAGCAGTCAAATGCCTTAGGCACTATGCTACCACACAACACTGCCCAGTCCTGTGTCAGCCTCACAATCCTTGCTATGCTTGAGCCTATCATTGCATTGTGTAAAACAACCTTGTTGAGAAGCTTTCCCTTTTTCGCTGACTGTCCACTTTACCAAGCATGATACCCTTCTCCAGGGACTGGTCCCTTCTGACCATAATGACCAAAGTAGGTAAGACAAAGTCTGGCCATTCTCACTTCCAAGGAACATTCCGGCTGCACTTCTTCCAGGATAGATTTGTTTGATCTTCTGGCAGTCCATTATATTTTCAGTATTCTTCACCAATACCACAATTCAAAGCCATCAATTTTCCTTTGGTCTTCCTTACTCATTTTTACCTTTCACACACATACCAAAAAAAAAGCAAACCAAACTCAATGACGTGGAGTCGGATCAGACTCATAGCAACCCCTCCTTGGGTTTCCAAGGTGGTATCATTACGGAAGTAGATTGCTCAACCTTCTGCCAGCCTCTGATTAGCAGACAAATGCCTTGGGCACTACGCTACCAGATACCATGGCTTGGGTTAGGAGCCCCTTAGTCTTCAAAGTGACATCTTTACTCTTCAACACTTAAAGAAGTCTTTTGCAGAAGATTTGCCCAGTACAATATGACATCTGCTTTCTTGACTGCTATTTTCATAAACGTTGAATGTGGATCCAAGGAAAATGAAATCCCTAACAACTTCAATCTTTTCTCCATTTATCATGATGCTGTTTACTGATCCAGTTGTGAGGATTTTTGTTTTCTTGATTTTGAGGTGTAATCCATATTGAAGACTGTAGTCTTTGATCTTCATCAGTAAGTGCTTCAAGTCCTCTTCACTTTCAGCAAGCAACGTTTTGTTGTCTTCATATCTCAGATTGTTAATGAGCCTTCTTCCAATCCTGATGCCACATTCTTCATATAGTCAAGCTGATATGTAATAGACTGTTAAATAGTCTCATTTTTACTATTATGAGCATCCTTAAAGGTTCATGTACTTTTTTTTGAAGCACTACCAGCACAGGTACCCATTATCTAAGATAGAAATCTGGAGGTCATTCTTAACTCCTTCCTTTTCCTCACCCCATATCCAAATTCTGACCAGTTTATTTTAGATCTACCTCTTGAAGAGGTTTTGAATCTGTTCTCTCCATTCCATCCATACTGAAACTCCCTTAGTCCTGCTATTTCCTAACTAGATGACTGCATGTTTCCTAACTAGTCTCTGACTCTTCAGCCTCTCAATTTATTCCCCATATCACTACTTTTCTAAAATGCCTCTCTGTGAATGTTATTCTCCAGCTTAAATTATTCAATAGTTCTCAATTGCTTCACAATAATAATCTACAATCATTGGTGACCCTTGTGCCCTATGCCAAGAAAGCCCTCTTCTCCATCTTTACCTCGTCAAGAAGTTCATACATCACCTTCTAAATACACCACATTCCTTATATCCAGGGTGCTTTAGGTTCTCATCCCATGTGAGTACTTTTCACTCTGGATTGAAATGGTCTATTCTCTTTTCTCCCTACCAGACTGTGACAACAGCTACTTGACAGCAGAACCATTTTCTTTGTAATATCTGAAATCCTAGCAAATAGGCACACAATAGTTTCCTCAATAGTGTTTGTTTTAAAAGCCTATTTTTTAAAATACATTATATATATATATATATATATGTGTGTGTGTATATATGTTATTGTTATTGTTATTTGTCGTCGAGTCGGCCCTGACTCATAGCAACCCCTCCTTGGGTTTCCGAGGCAGTATCACTATGGAAGTAGGATTGCCATATATGTGTGTGTGTGTGTGTGTGTGTGTGTGTATGCATATGTATATGTATCAAGTTGAACCTTTGTAATCTATTATTGAGATTCTAGATTCTAGCAGGTTGTTCTTCTTTCAGATGACTGTGGCTAAGACTCACTCTAACTATTCCCACTTTCACTTTTTATTTTCTTAATTTAATATCTGTAAAGGAGCTCTGGTGGCATAGTGCCTAAGGCATTTAACTGCTAACCAGAAGGCTGGAGGTTCAAACCCACCAGCCACTCTTCGGAAGGAAGACTGGGCAACCTAGTTCTGTAGAGATACTGGCTAGAAAACTCAAGGAGGGGTCACTATAAGTCGAAACTGACTCAACGGCAGTTTTTTTTTTTGTTTGTTTGTTTTTTAAATACCTGTAATGTATGTGTTGTAGGCATTCATTCCCAAGTATGGAGTAAACTTATACTTTAATCTTTCTCTCATTTATGCAATATTTATTTGCACTTAGTGGGTGCCAGAAATACAATGATATGAAATAAAAACCTTAAAGAAAATTCTGGAATTGTGAATGATAGTATTGTGAAATTTTGAAGTCCTAACGAAACATAAGGTGATTGGACTTAATAATTACATTTATAAAGATACAAACAGTTGAAAGATTTCTGAAACTATTTCATTGGCTTTGGGGCTTTATTTCCTACACCCTCAAAAGTAAAAAAAAAAAAAAACGCTATATAAATATCGGCCGATTTATTCAGCACTGACAACGGAGCAAATTAAAGTCACTGGTTAGACAGTATACTGTTGCAACAGTTACCTAACGGTAAATATTAAATTATGTTAAGTCTCTTTGAAAGTCTAAAAGGTCACAAACATATAATCAAAGGTCCTAAGATTATAATAGCTAGGTTTCCATTGCACATGATTGGCCCTTCTAGGGATGTTCAAAATAAGCTAGCGGTTACCGTATCTCTCATAATTCAATTTGGAGCTAACATTCTGGGAAATGAGGTAAGAAATACAAACTCTAGACTTCTAAAAGATGAATCCTGGTTTCATTATAAACGCAGGGAAACTCCAATTAAGGAATGGGCACATTAAGAAGACTTCAAGTGGAAAAAACTGCTTTGCAAATCCTTTGCAAGTACCTTCAGAGAGCACTAGCCTTGAATAAACCTTTCCAAGAAATAGATCCATGACCCCCACCAGACTACTTCTCCCAAGTAGAAGCCAGTTAACTTAAGAGACCTACGAAATGATGAGGAAGATGACCGGGGAAAATCAATTAAAGAACCACTCTTCTCTCTCTAAAGTCACGAATAAAGTGCTTCTCTTTGGCAACGTGCGGAGAGTTTGGCAACAGACGATCATGAAAAGGGGACGAATAAACATTTTCTAAACTAAAAATCCCTTCCTTGTTCTGGGGAGAAACTTCAACCCCAGTCCCAGTCCCAGCAGCATCTTAAAATTTCGCACTCACCATGACCCCAACTGACACCACCCGCCTGCACCCCTGCCCCGCCTCACTCGGCAGTCGCTCCGCTCAATCGCAATCTCCACAGCTGCGAAGCCGTTACTAAAACCACTCTCTTGCTTCCCTCAAGCAGCCCCGCCCATCCAAGCAAGCCCTTGCTGATTGACAATCATTCCATTTAATAGACAAAAAGGAAAATGGCCCTTGAGCCAACCCCCTTCTGTCTATTCTCTACCAATAGCGTGAAGACCCCGCCTTTCCCAAGCGGAACTTTCCTCTCTGGTTTCTTAGCGACCCGGCCAGTCTACCCAGCCAGATTGCTCCCTCCCCGCGCACATGCGCAAACTGCAGGCAGGGAAAGGCACTTCACTTGGGGGTTTTGTCGTCTTCCCTGTCCGGGTCCCATCTAAAACCGATTGGACTGCAAGTAGTGGTGAAGAAAGGAGCGAGGTTAGTAGCGAAGTGTTTCCACCTCCACCGACTGCTAAGGCTTGGTGAAGACGTGGGGGGTGAGGGGAAGGGAGGAGCACTTGTCTTGTCTTTCTGACCTTTGTAAACTGGTGCAAGGATTAGAATCTCCATCATGGTGGGCTTTAGGTGAACTTGTTTTTATAATCTGGCTGGGATTATTACTAAGGGGCGGAGGGAGCTACCCTTTTTCTGCACCCCTAGACAGAAAGGAGCTCTGGTGGCGTATTGGGTAAGGCATTTGGCTGCTAACCAGAGGCCGGCAGTTCAAACCCACCAGCTAGCTGCTCCACAGGAGGAAGATGAGGCAGTCTACTTCCTTAAAGATTTACAGCCTTGGAAACCCAATGAGGGTCACTATGAGTCGAATCCACTCGATAGCAGTGGGTTTGGGGTTTTTTGGTTTAGACAGAAGACTTGAAGCACTTACTGATGAAGATCAAAGACTACAGCCTTTAGTATGGATTGCACCTCAGGGTAAAGAACACTAAAATCCTTAAAACTAGACCAATAGGCAGCATCACGATAAACGGAGAAAAGATTAATGTAGTCAAAAGTTTCATTTTACTTGGATCCACAGTCAACGCCCATGGAAGCAGCAGTCAGGAAATCAAATGACTATTGCACTGGGCAGATCTGCTGCAAAAGATCTCTTTAAAGTGCTAGAGAGCAAAGATGTCACCTTGAAGACTGAGGTGCACCTGACCCAAGCGGTGGGATTTTCAGTAGCCATACATGCATGTGAAAGCTGGACAGTGAAGGATACTGCAGAAGAATTGATACCTTTGAATTGTGGTGTTGGCGAAGAGTATTGAAAATACCATGGACTGCTAGAAGAACAAACAAATCTAACCTGGAAGAAGTGCAGCTGGAATGTTCCTTAGAAGCAAGAATGGCCAGCCTTTGCCATGTTATTAGAAAAGAATAGTCCCTGGAGAAGGATATCATGCTTGGTAAAGTTGAGAGTCAAAAAAAAGGGGGAGACCAACCCTCAACCAGATGGATTGACACGGTGGCTATAACATGGGCTCAAGCATAGCAAGCTGTGAGGATGGTCCAAGACTGGGAAGTGTTTCCTTCTGTTGTACGTAGGGTCACTGTACATAGGTACCAACTTGACAGCAACTAACAACATAATAACAAACATTCCTTAACCTTTAGGGTGCCTGCTGCTTGGCCTTTTGCCACTCCTCCTCCCTAGTTTGGCCAGGGATTCTGGCCAGGCCAGTTGTTCAGTTGCCATCTAGTGGGGCTCAGGGTTCCCCCACGTGTATCAAAGTAGAACTGTCCTCCATAGAGTCTCAGTGGCTTATTTTGGAAGTAGATCACCAGGCATTCCCAGGCACCTCTGAGTAGCCTTGAACCTCCAATGTTAGGTTAACAGCTGAGATAATATTTAATCATTTGCACTACCTAAGGATTTCTTTGAGGAGCCCTAGTGGTGCAGTGGTTAAGTGGTCAGCTAACTGAAAGATCAGAGATTCTAACCCAGCAGCCTGTTGGCAGGAGAAAAGACATGGTAGTATGCTCCCATAATGATTTCAGCCTAGGAAACCGTATGAGGCAGCTTACTCCTATAGGGTCACTGTAAGTCTGAATTGACTAAAGCATACAACTATAACACAAGAACTCCTCTGGCAGGGTAAGCTCCAAACTTTCAGCATAAGAGGGATGTGGGGCAGCAATCTGGTTGGAAGGAAGTGTGTATGGGGACAGTTTTAACTGTTTTTATTTGCTGCAGAATCTCCTCCCCCACCCAAGAGATCTGGCCGATTGTTCAGCAGCATCAAGTGTCCTTCCTCTGCACCAGGCCACAGGTAGCCTGATAATCCAGTTGACAGCTGAGGTGAAGACACCCATGTAACTGCGTAAACTAAAGCAAATTATTGTCCAGAAGGTCAGGCTTGATGGTTCTGCCCACTCATGACCTTGGTCAAGGCACCACCTAAAAGTGTGAGAGAGAAGGACTCCTGACTTCCTGGTAGGAATAAAGAGGTGATAGTCTATTAAAACATAGCAAACACATCAGGACCCTTTTCATGCCTCCTGCATTGCCATCTCTAGAATAAATATTTTCTAAAATCCATACTGGATTCTCTGACAGTGCATTCAGGAAGAATTCTGAGTTGTGCCTGGCCATTTTCATTTGTCTCACTTATCTCCTTGAATTTGGGGCAAGAAAAACAGTGCAAAATATGTTCTTTAAGCAATCTCCTAAATCACTTTTCACACCTTAGCAAATAGAAACTTACCACATTTTCCAAAGCCATCAACCTGCTGTATTCACATCATCTCCCAGGCTGTGTGATTTTGTATATGTTGCTTAACCCTTCTTGTTAGCTGCTGTCAAGTCAGTGTTTTGATTTATGGTGACCCACGTGCAACAAAACATGAAGCTTCTAGAAAATAGATAAGATTATCTTAATGTTAGAAGTGATTTTACTATATGAAGGGACCCCAGTGGGGATTAAAATGATGCAAATTCAAGATATTTTGTGAATTAGTACAATTTTCAGACAGCTAGCTATGTTGATTTTTCAGGCCATTAACGTCCCCTAATAAGTTGCTCTTTCTTGGCTTCAAGGTCATATATTTCATCTTTAATACTAACACTAAAGAGATTTCTGAGACCCAGAAGTGAATAGTGATCATGTATGCACCCAACCTAATTCTGTTTTCTAGGCTGTCCTTTACTCTCTGGAATCAAGTATGATC